TTCTTTTCTGTATGATCTGACACAAATCAATAACTTTTAAATAACATTCATTATCTTTAACGTGTCTTCGCACTCAGAAAATCATACATCAGCATTTCATAATTGAATCGAGCACACATGAAACAAAGTAGTCATCGTTTTTATTCTGATAACAAACGTGACGTATGGGCGACAATAAATCAAGAATCGAAAAGATACTCAGGTTTTTGTAATTGAATGCACTGTTGTATCCATATAGCACTTCTGTCATAAATGCTCAATAAAGTTGCATCCTCTGAGATGCACAACGGTGTGCGATACGCGTGTGGATTTTTTTCTTCATCGTAACTGCCGTTCGTACACCCATGCACTAATATTCTCAATTTCTCCTTAGTCTGTTTTAGCATTATTTTTATCATGTGATTTAGGAAGAATGATCATTGATCGGGATGACCGTCGATGATCGACGTGTTTGTGGTTGTATACTAAGTCTTTTGTAAGAGGATGTTATAAAGTCTAGACTATTATGCAATGAATTAGATTGGAAGAGTCGAACAATTAGTTTACCATATTGCTGCCCGTTTCGAGGCTACTTAAATATTTTTCAAGTATGATGAGGGTGAGAAGTTTGATGAAAGTATGAGAGTTATCGCTGATGTGAGTGTAGCTGACCAGAGTTTCCCGTACATGCCCACAACAACATTCGGATTTTTGCTTGCTTGCATCGATCAGATCTTTGACAGTCCTGAAATAGGACAGTTGACAGTATTATCACTGTTAATTACCGCTGAGATTTACTAAAACAAAATTGAAGAATTTTGTAACGTGTAGTTATTGACAAAATCGAGATTAAGCATAGAATTTTTGAACACCCTCGATCTTTGAAATCCATATTTTTCAAGTTAAGAATGCTTTCGATAAATCTGATACATTTCATTTGAATAAGCATACGATAAACTTTCATTTTCAATCTAGAAATTAGATCCGGGCCTTTAAATAAATGTATAAATTTTATAAACATTCCCAATTAAGAATAAAGTACAATATTTCTTAATTTTGTGACTCTTTCAAACTATGAATTCTGGAGTTATAATTCTAAACATTCTCTTATATAGAATACTTTATCATGCTCTCTTCAAGGATTTCATTCAAATTTTCAAAAAGATTTCACGAAGAATAAAACAGTCAAAAAGTCTTAATATTAATTTTCGGTAAAACTGACTTTCAAACCTGTCCGATTCTCTTTAAAATAAAAGGCGTCATAAGGAACCATTGAGGATTTTAGCGAAAATGCTGAACCTTAGAAGCTCTATTTGGTTATCACTAAACCATCAAACGTTCTAGATAATTTAAAGAACTATTACAAATAAGAAAAAGGTTCCAAATGTTTTTTCGAGTACAAAATAATTCGCTTTATCCATTAGAAATATTCAATTTCCTTGAATACCATCCTAATATTGACCAAAACGCTAATTACTCGCCAAAAAACCCTCAAAATGGAGACAATTTCCGTAATACCCGTCGCGATTCGACCGGGAACACTTTTACAAGAAACGAATCAGGTTTCCAAAAATAACTCGATGGTCTTTATCAATGGCTTATTGCATGACTTAAATCTCAATGAGATGGATAGTACGAAAATCACTTATCAAACCATTTTTTTCACGAAAGACTCAGCGAACCAAATAAAATTATTGCCAGTGGTGTTTGAAGCAGATTGTTGTACATGAATTTCGTAACTCTTTCTTTGATATGAAGTATACTACCAGCTGTTATATTCGTATGGTTTCGTCATATGATTTTTACAGAAACAATTAAGTTTCAGCTCTCGGTGTGGATATGAATACGATTGTTTGAACGAAAGATAGTGCTGCTACACAGTTAACAGAGGTGTGTTTAAATTTAGTAATATTTCAAGCGAAAGGGAAAAAGTGCACACAGTATGGATATGAATAGGAAGCAAAGAAAAATTTTGTATCCCACTGTCATGTGAATAGAAAGGTGAGAAAAACATTGTATTGCGCATTTATGTCAACATGAAGGCGAACAACTCATGGGTAAGTAATCAGCATGAAATGAAACAGAAATAATAATTCTTTTGGTTAACGGGAGATAGGGATGTAATGGAATATATAATGGCACTCGTTGCTATGTTATATAAAGTCATCAAGGAGATCAGTAATGGAAGTAGCTCTTGAAGAATTAATTAAAACATTGTATGGAGAGTAAAAGTAATATGCTAGATGAACATTGCAAGAAGAAAGAGTGTGGCATTGTAGTACAGCACTTGGTGACGATTTCAGTAAACATTGTCATTTTTTATTCATTTATGGAAAAATGAAATTCAGTGGACGGCGGAATGTTGCATGACACTTAATGCAAGCTTGTAATTGTTATATGGAGATATAAAGTTTTGGAGACAATGACTTCAATTAGTCATGGCGCTCTGATATTGTCGATATTTCTTACATTCACTTTTGCTCTCCGTCTGATACCTGTTTTCATCTGCCGGATAGGTATGAAAATATGCGATAATCAAATGTGATATTATAAAGAAACAGACCGTGAAACAATTTTCTTTTCTAACCTGCTATGTCACTCTCAAGATGTTATTAGACCAGATTCCATTGATCATCAAAGTCACATAAATCTTGATATATGTGCATTGATAAAAGATGAGAAACTATCTATATTGTTCATGTTTCATGAAAGTAAATTATAATTTTTATGATAACATTATGATTGTTATTGGTTAGTTTCAAATATCTTTTTTCTTTGTCTTCGAAAACAAAGAAGAATATGTCATTCTATTTTCACAAACACAAGTCCTCAGTAGAAAACAGACAACTAGTGCACCACAAATTTCATTGCTTCGTAAACGTTTTCAAAAATCGAATACAGCTTTTTTTTCTTCACTTGTAATTAAAATGCTTTCATTTCTATTCAGAAATGACTGATTCAAATTCAAATCACAAAGGAAAGAATATATTGTCATGAAGCACTTTAGAAGAATTTGTGACTGTTATCGAATTTGTTGAAGATCGTACTAATCAACCCCGAAATGAGACATAGTGATCAAACGTTAAGACTAGATCATCGAGTTCTCTTTTGATGTGAAATCATTAATAAATTGAAATTTGATCATACCGAAAGAATACGTCATGCATTATACCACCTGCTGTGCCCAGAACGCCATGATGTCAATAAACTTGTTGAGAAAAAGAAAAGAATAAACAACGGAGAAGAACATGAGGATGGTATTGATGAAAAAAAAAAAGAAAATTCTGTTCTAAAAAAAGTCACTCAACTTTACTGTTTGATCCAATATTACTGCTATCTCAGCGGCCAATTACACATGCTAATCAACACAAACATATCAAGAGTGATACCACTCAATATTCGGTCCTGAACGAAATATCACTTGTTTTCAATGTTAATGAGTGGGAAAATTCGTTTAGTTGGACACATCAGAAAATGAAACTAGATTGGACTGATATATTTTTAAAAAAGTTAACTTTATCTGAAATTAAATGTCCAGCAAAATTTAAAATGTCATATACCAAAAAAAAAAGAAAAAGAAAACAAGAATGTCGTTTTTTCTGTTGCTAAACTACATGCACTATTACGTAGTATATGTTCGAGAAAATAATAAATAAGTCTTCAGAATGAGCCAGATGAAAATTCATCGGTATACTTTTTCTTGTACGAGTTTTCATTTATGAAAACTATAATATTGATATTGAAACATCCACACGTTAACTATATAGTCAAAATCGCTTTCTCGTCATTAAGAAATTCTAATATTGCAGTTAAAAATTTATAATATACGATGCGTATATTTCAGGAAAGCGAGCAAAACCGATCAAAATTCGCTTGCATCAGATAGTTTCATAGAGTGTCCAACAATTGAAGCATTAAAGAAAGTGTCATTTGTTTATCGTACGAAATTACATATCAATGATAACATTTTTCAAGAATGTCGCACTATCGCTTACGATTTTATCATCAAGAGAATGTGAAATCCATTAAAGTTCAAGAGGAGTCATAAGTATTTGCAAAAAACCTGTTAATTAATATCTGACTTTTTTCATAGAATACATTCATGACATGGGTGAATTGCCGTTTCGTACACATTTATACTTTGAATCACAAATTCGACGTTATATTAGCTATTGCATGAAAAAAAAGATTTCCATGTTCGCATAGATGCCATCGATGCTTGTATAACTCAAAATACGCCAATAGAGACGGTCACTATTTTACACAGTAATAAGCGGATTATTTCGAAGATAACACATCAGAATCGAGCTAATATGGTGCGCAATCGTGAAAGCTCGGCGAATCCTATCAAAAAACCTTGTTTGTTTCTGAGGAAAGTGATCCTGACTGAACCGTAACGGGTATTACAGAAATTATCTGTATTTTAGGGTTTTTTGGGAGTAATCAGCGTTTCGATCGAGACTAGGATAGTATTCGAGGAAAGTGAACATTACGCATGGATAGAGCTCGTTATTTTCCACTTAGAATCCACATTGATTGCGTTGGAAATAATCCGTCCGAGAAATACTCGAAACTTGACCTAAAATATCCTACACATTTAGCGCAATCAAAACATTAACCTTTTATTTTTCTTGCTAAATGAAATACATTCCATTCTCACGTTCATTCTTCATTCAAGTACAATAATCTGCAATGCAAAGAGAGAAATGAGAAAATGTATTGGTTGTATTTTTTATTATAATGAAACGACAACAAAATAATACCACACAACAACAAGAATATTTTACAACAACAAAATCCAGTACATATTTTTTATTCATGAATGAAACGTTGCAGTCAATATCTATGTTGAATACATCAATAAGCTGGATATTCAAAAGAAAAGAAAACTTAGAATTCGAACCTTCACTCACAGTTACAAAATGTCTTACAAATAACTGGCAACAAATATTTACATTTAATCGAGCGTTGTTAGAAGATTCTAGCCTTCATAGTTAATTAGTCACGATGTTCTCGTTTTTTCAGATTGTTCCAGGTGAAAAAATGGCATCCGTGATTCTCAATGGTACAATAGGCCGTGATGAATTACCAGTTCTTGCTAATGGAATAATCATTGGATCATGTCGAGGCCATAGTTCAGGTAAACTCATTAATGAAACAAAAGGACACAGCAAGATCACAATGTAGATACCATAGGGTAAAATATTGATACTCAATTCAACCAAGAAAGGTTGTGGAACTGGAGAAAAAAGCATAATTGAAGAACAAATTATCATAGGCAGCCAGACAATATTGTACAAAATTACAATATATAGTAATTGTATGACAAGGCGTCGATTTTTTTTCCACATTTGACGTTGTTGCATGTAATGTTTTTGCCATAAGACACGGCTCAATAGTGCAAGACTAGCAAGACTACTAACTGCAACAGGTAAAACAAGATCAATAAATTCATCTAAAATGCTAATTGTTGTTTGATAAAAATAGCAAGGTCCACCACATGTAATCATAGTATAAGTAAATTGATTAATACAAGGATAGAAAAAAATTAAATAAGTATAAAGTCCAATTGGATAAATAATGCAAAAAATTATTGGCATATAGTGAAGAACAAATAAATGTTGCTGAAGAAATTGGTTGTGAAACACGAGTAAATAACGTTCTATTGCAGTGAAACCCATTAACATTAAAATCATCACATTAAATGAATAATCTTGACATGCCCAAAATTTGCAAAAAAAATCCAATTGTATTGGAACAAGATTAGTTCGCAAATATGAAAGTATAGTTGGTAATTCCGATATAACCTTAATACATTCAATGAAGAAAAGAAAAATCGAAAAGTAAAACCTACCTGTAGAAAACTGCAAATTACGACAGCGAAAACAGTATGAATCCGAATATGTTTGCGCAACATACCTTTATGAATACATTGGAAAAAGATATATAAATAACAAGGAATAGATGGAATGATAAGAATAGTAAAAATCCAAAATGAAATTGTACGTAATACGGGCGCTAACATATCTACTGATGTATCATTGAAGATACTGTTATTATTAATAGTTGACATGCTTGCAGTAAACGTTTGTTCTACAGTATGTATTAAGATTATGATGTTATTTATATATACTGGCATATTCATGTTATTAAGTTCGTTATTGTGCCTCACCAGCATGGTTACTTCTACGGCCTAATAGGGTTCATTGTATAATCATAAGTTTTTGTCATATATTTCTAACGAGGAAATCCGTCCAACTGATAATTTCTGTTGAAGCTCATATTTAGCTCATAGATATGACTTCTATTGTAGATGAAAACTGTATGAGAGTTCGCGTCATTACCTCTGCATTTCAGAGAATCGTAGATTATTAGTTTCTATTGAAATAACATTATTATTGGATATCCCGAAAGGATTGCAACGCTTTCTTATATTACGCATAGATCAGCTTAGGAAAATTATAAAATCTTTATTATTTTAAAGATGCATCACGAAACTTTTTACAAAATTCTATCAAAGAAACTTCTATTGATTTGATCTAATGACTTCTTCGTGATCAAAATAGACCACTTGTATGATTGTACTATTTCCTGGTAGATTGAATATAATGATACCCATGTAAAAAAAAACAGATTAAAATTGATTTTCCCATAAAAATCACAAAAATTCTATTAAGTACACTACATGTTGATTAAATCCAACAAAATAATAGATTAAAATAGATTTGTTCAGGTAATAATCAATCAAAACAAATTTTCTGCTAAATAATCGACTAAAAATGTAACCGATTTTAATCGATTTCTGCTGTAATTACACCATCACAATTTGAAGCCAAGGAGTTCCAACTTTACTATATTTGTGTGACTTCGGTTCAGTAGTAATTTTATGTTTTGTGAACGTGAGCAGTCCAAATAATCCTGAAAAACTAGGAATGTGGTGTTTGAATCTGGAGCTCATCTTCGATATGCATGATAAAAATAGTTTAAAAGGTAGTAATAGACAAGAAGTTGAAAAGTCCAGTTATGATCGTTTTCTACGTGACTAAAAATCGATTATAATAGATAAATTAGAAAAATCTATTACATTTTTTTTGTTAATTCTACATCTGATTAAACTTGAATTTTAATAATGTCATTAAAATAGATTTTGAATCACACAAAAATCTATTATAATCAGATATTTTTTCATGTTTCTTTTACATGGGTTCTTAAGTGATATATAAAAAGATAAAGTTTTTCACGCGCTATCTCCTGATGGTGAAAG